TTATTTTTTTGCTGAAAGTAACTACTGCCAATAAATATAATTGGCTAATACCAACTTTGTGAGGTCAAACCATGATGATTATGATTTCTTACTTGTATTTGTTGACTTTTCTCATCAGGTTCATGTACTGGTCAGACTGGGGGGTGCAGGCTAAAATTGAGAAGGCTGGGCTGAATGGCGTGGACCGCCAGGTGCTGGTCTCGGAGCGAATCGAATGGCCTAATGGGATTACTTTAGGTAAAAAGGTGCTGGTGCATGAACAAGCTTAACTTTCATCTTCATTTTATTTTCCTTTTCTTTTCTTTTTTTTTTTCAACTTAATGTCAGTGAATTGAAATTCTGACAAATAGGGAGAAATACCTAGAGACGCAGTGAAAGATAAAAGGAAGACGTGCAGGAAAGCAAAGCATGAAACATTAAAAAGGGATTTTTTTTTTTAATCCCTTCTTAACATGTCATGCTTTTCTGCAATGTGTATTTTTAAGAAAGAGAGAGAGAGATAGAGAGAGACATTCGATGAATGCAGAGCAAGGAGAAAAACAATATCTGGCACAGAGCCTGAGATGCAAGAGCGACAAAGGAAAGAATGTTAACAATTGAGAGCAGGATTGAAGCTTCTGAGCCTGGCACTTTTCTTCTCACTTGTTCCTACAAGTTTAGGCAAAATCAAATGGAATTACATAAACAGTGTCTTTCAATATTTTCATAAAATTTCAGTGGCAGGTTTACACTGTACATTTCAGTGCCAAATTTTGCTGTTGACAAAATTTATGCGCTGTAAACGGATTTTTTTGGTTGTGAGTTGAAATTAGTTTAGAAGATGTAATGCGATCAGCTCACTAAATCACAGCTTAGTGATTTAGTGCCACTTTGACCAAAGACCTTCAAGCACAAAGTCGTGTTAGTTTGGTTGCAGTTTCAGACGTTGAGCGTTGCTATGACGCCCTTCTAAAAGCTGCCAATAGGAGGACGGCATAGGATTTTTGCTCGACTAACAGGACAGCTACAAATGCAGTAGCGGCAATGGTGAAATAAAATATGCTAATGTTTATGTTCATCTTTTCTGCACGATACCTCATCACAGTGATTTATGACGTAAGAAGAACATAGTAAGTTTCTTTCATCACAAGACTATCTTTAGAGGAATAATAACAATTTACACCGATCATCCTGTTCAAAAGTTTATATCCCCCTGTCTCATAATGCATCACGTTGCTTTCTTGGCAACCAGTGAATGTTTGCACCTTTTGTAATAGTCATGTACAAGTCCCTCAGTTGTCCTCACTGTGAAACGATGGATCTCAACATCATATAGCCGCTGTTGGAAAGAAAATGTGAAAGAAAAGAACATTGGGTAGTTTAACTGCTCAGGACAAACAAGGGACTCATGAACAACTATCACAAAACATAAACATAGTCCTTGGTCATCCAAGTAACGGCACACTATGAAGAATCAACTTTTGAACTGGTTCATTCGTGTAAATTCAGTTATTATTGTGTCTTGTGGACTAGATGTAAACATCCGTTATATGAAATAGATTATGCAGGGGAGAACTAATTAAAAAACTAAATGCAATTTTTATCATCCCTCTTTTTTTTTCTTTTTTTTAAAAAATAATTAACATTTTGCAGATTCTGCAAGGTGTATGTAAACTTATGACCTCAACAGTTCTTTTGTCTTGGTGTGTTGCATGTATAACCATTTGCCATTTGGTATGCCATAACTTAATGATCATAATATACCACCCTTCGCATTTCAACACTTTGGTATTAGAATGAAAACTATTTCTGCCTTTATCAGGATCTGAATTGAAACGGATCTGAATGTATCCGTAACCAGCTGAATTTTGCCAGCAGATTTGTCCAGCAGACGTCTGTACTGGGTAGACTCCAAACTCCACCTCATCTCCAGTGTGGACCTGAATGGGGATAATCGCAGGGTTCTGCTCTCGTCTACAGAGCATCTGGGCCACCCATTCGCCCTCACGCTGTTCGAGGTAACCGTGTACTCTTATAGCAAAATCATAATACTCACCGGACAATCAGGCTGTACGATTTACTTTCTTCCTTTTTTTCTTTCTTTCTGATTTTGTAATCATTTCTTTTTTCTTTCTCTTCTTTATTGTTGGTTTATTTGCGTTTTTTTCTGTTTTTTTCTTTCCTTGCTATTCTTTCTTTCTTTTATTTACCATTTTGTTCTATCTTTCATTTTCTGTTCTTCTTCTCCTTCTTCTTTTCTTCTGGCTAGGTTGTCTATGGCAGCCCATAGAACCATCTGGTAAAAAGTTGTGAAATTTGTCACACTGATTGGGGAAGGTCTAAGGTACACTCTGACCAAATTTGGGCCAAGTGCTGCCGACGGTCTAGCGCCACCATTGGGTCAAATTTGGACCTAATTTGGAAGTATGTTTGAACCTTTTGTCCAAAATTTGGACAAATTTTGTCCATGCATGCTTGGATTCTGTGGGTTGAGAGGAGTTCAACACGCCCTATGATGTCAGTGTACTTACACTGTTTGGTCCACAGGGGGCAGTGTTGTCTTCCATCTCACCCACTGCAAATCCTGAAATGAAAATAAATTAGTGAACGTAACTAATTAGATTTTCCGCCATCTTGAATTTTGTCCAATCATCAGCAAATTTGGGACACGCCATCTTTAGTGTAAGCCTTAGAAAAGTTATCAAAATAATTTTTAATACTCCAACGAATCTGACCGCGAAGCCGCCAAAGAGGAAATGAGACTGCTTCTCAGCCACGACTTTGCGCACTGACACAAAACTTGGTAGGCATCTTCAAGGCTATGACCTGAGGCTATGCAACAAATTTTGAGCCAGCGCCACTTACTGCTCAAAATTAACAATAACAGTAAAATAATACTTACATCTAGCTGCCATTTTTGCTCCTCCTCCTCCAAATTTTGTCAAATCTTCACCAAATTTGCCTCACATTGTCTTGAGACCTGTCTGAGCAAAATTATCAAATGCTGCATGCAGCTTTAATTTGTAATTCCTTTTTATTGTTCTTTATTGCCTTATCTTTGTTTCTTACTTTGTTTGTTTGTTTTCTTTGCTACTTTTTCTGTCTTGTTTGTCTTTTTCAGTTTTTACTGTTTTCTTCATGTTTTGTATTATATGATATTTATTTTTATTTAGGCCTTCTCTCTATCTGTCTGTCTTTCTTTCTTTATCTATTAATTTGTTACTATTTTTTGCGTTTTCTGTTTTTTTCCTTGTTTTTTGCAATTATTTTTTATTTGTTTGTTTTATGAATTTGTTTAATTTATATATTTGTTTTTCCATGGTTTATTTCTCTCTTTTTTTCTGTTTTCCTTCCTTTTGTTCTCTTTTTTTTCATTTTTTTTTTCTTTTTGTCATTCATTTTCTTTGGAATATTTCTGTAGTTTTCTGATAAGTTGTGTATGCCAGATGCTCAAATTACACACCACTCCTATAGGAAGACTTTAGTTGATGATCAGTTTTATCACACTAAATGGTTTGTGCCGGGGAAAGCTGTGGAGACATATTTCACAGACGGATTGAATATATGTTTTTGTGTGCCAGTATTTCAGTTGAAATGTGCTAAGCGATTGAATGTTCTGGCTTCGGTACAGTTGGTAACGGGGATGTAGACCTGTAGCTCTTTCTGATGAAGCAGAGCTGCACGTATTTTATAGGCATGGAGCTTATTGAGGCTGGCACATCTCACTATTGAGACACACACAGCACAGTTACTGTATCTCTAACATATAACCATAGCAGACATGTGAGACAGACTGTTTGGAAGTGGAACAGCAGAAAAGTGTGAAAATGTGCCCTGAGGCTTGGAGCACTGAAGGAAAGCATGTACGACACAAGGGATTTAATCTGTATGTTTCCAGAGAGAGGGTTTGCTAGTTTAGCTACCATGTCTTGCTTCCTATTATAGCTTCAGTAAATGAAGATGAAATGCAAAACACCCAGATATATGCACACACACACAAAGACACACATCCCCTCCTGCTGTGGTTAGAAGTGTTTCTCACTGGGAGAGTAGATAAATGGCTCAAGTTTGTTGGCAGTAGCTAAAGACACAAACCAAATTAAAATCCTTTATAGGCAAGCGACGTTAGAGGAGCCGTGAGGAAGACAGCAGCTCCAAACCATACATCAGCTTCTCCCTCCTACAGGCCAGTCAATGAGCCAACTCAACACAAGAGCACCCAGGAGCCAAACCCCACACTGAGGAAACAATGGCTTTCTCTCTCGTTCTTTAACTTTTGTCCTGTGTGTTTGAGAAATGAGGTGCCAGGCTGCTGCACAACCCTCCGGGCTGCTTCTAAACTACTGCTAAACTTCTCCACTTCACTGTGGAAGTTCTGCAGCAGATCTATAATGGGTTCTTGCTCTTGGTTCCATTTGTAGCTGTATGCAGATGAGACCAAGGAGTTCACACGTTCACCGAGTCCACAAAAATGTGCTGCTTTGCTTTTTACACAAATTAAATATAATTAATTTATTTATTTGTTCTATTTTTTTTTTAATGCTTTCCTTTGCTACTTTTTCTGTTGTTTTTGTCGTTTTCATATTTTTATTGTTTCCTTTAGATATTCTATTATATACTTATTTATTTTTTTGGTTCAGTCTTTATTTATGTGTTACTTAGTTAGTTATTCATGTATTACTATTTTTCCATTTCCTTTTTTTCTAGGTTTGTTGTAATTGATTTTAATTTGTTTGTTTCATGAAATGGTTTCAATTATTTCTTTATTTTTCTATGATTTTATTTCTCTTTCTTTCTTCCTTCTTTTCTTTTTTCTGTTTTTCCCATTTGGTTTTCTTATCTGCCACAGTTGTGGCTCTGGGTTACTGATCAGAAGGTCACTGTTGGGCCCTTGAGCAGGCCCTTAACCTTGTCTGCTCCAGGGTTGCTGTATCATGTCTGACCCTGTGCCTTAACCCCACCTTCCTAACAAGCTGGGATATGCGAAGAAAAGAATTCCACTGTGCTGTAATGAGTATTGTGGCAGTGGTAGCTCAGTGGTAAAGGCATTGGAGGTCTTATTGGAAGGTCGTGAGTTCAAATCCCAGCACTGCCACTGCTGGGCCCTCAACTGCTCAGCTGTACAATATGAGTTAAAGGAAGTTGCTCTGGATAAGGGTGTATGCCATAAATGTAAGTGTAAGTAAGTCAGGCTCTCAGATCACACACCACTCCTACAAGACGATCAGTTGATGATCAGTTTTATCGCACAAGCTGGTGCATGCCAGTGAAAGCTGTGGAATTCCGTATGGGAAACCTTTGTATTATGTAGCAACAGAGGTCATATATTTTTGGTAGTTTTTAACTGTAAGCATTATCAACGTAAGGTGAGAAGTTCATTGAAATAACTCACTGTGATTTGGCCTGCAGCTGACAATCAAGATCACATGACATGCTACTATTTCAAAACCACATACTATTGTTCAATCTAGTAGGGTATTCCACTGTTTCTAGGAACTTAGCATGCTGTTCTGGACAGTTCTTGAAAGTTCGTTTAGTTAGCACGAGCAATAACATGAACTCAACATGATGAATGAACAGTGGCTAATGAACAGAGTCATTCCTACTGTGAAGAGCTGAACAAATGCCCTGTTCCTCAAAGACCATGCTCTTTGGGTAAAGTATGTTTTCAGCAGTCCTTCCAATTCCTCAAATTCTTCTTACGTCTGAAAAAGGCAACACGTTACAAAAATCCAAAGTACAAAAAATTTGTTTTTTAAAGATGAGGTTTATACGATGATCAACAAGCTAATGAACATTAATAGAGTCAGGGTGGTATAGTAGACTATTCCAGAAAAACTGCACAAGACAGGGATACACCATTGATGGCGTGTATCATGCACACACATACTGACACACTCTTGCACACCCAGGCGTAGCCATTCCACCTGCTAGCATATTTTTGGGAGGTGGGAGGGAGAACCCTGAGCAGATGGACTAAGGAAATACATATACAACTCCATACATAACCCAAAAGCTCAGGACTGAACTAGAGACCCTTTGAGTATGACGCATGTACGTTACTCAGTCAACCAATCGGTTGTATTTTTGCTAGCTCAACAACTATTAACAGTAAAAATAAATAAATAAAAAAAACGGACAAATAAAAGACTAACTGGAAAAGTATTAACCTTTTCTGTGCGACTTTTTTTGAGTAATATATAGTTGTATTGTGAGCTCGTATGTTAAAGTTTTGGCTGAACACTGCTACAAGTGTAGCTTTCTCCATTTTGCAAAATGAAGAACTGCTGCTATAGAGGTCAGTGCAGCCTAATCAGTTGTGCTCTTGGTCAATGATGCAAATAACTCAGTGTAATGTTTTGCTTGCAGAAAAGCTAGTGTGATTATAGACAAGGACATCTTAAACACAGTACAGAGCTTATAATTAATGAAGGATCTATGGACTTGATTCTAAGATACAAACTTTATACAAGGGAAAGATCAGAAAGACCTCATTCCTGCAATGGCGCTGCAAGTTTTTCATCTTCATTGAGAACTTGCTTTACTCGAAAAGGTAAATCCAGCAGTCGTGAGGAGCATGAGAGTGTGATTTTCCTCTCCGTGGCAGAGCAGGACGGCATTTCAAAAGAGCACAATGGCCTGAGTTCTCGTCATCCAGCACTAAGCGAGTATCTGCTGAAGCTCTGCAGGGAGCCACAGGGCTGACCTTTCCAAACACCATGCTTAAAACTCGCAGCCAGCGTGTGCGGTACTCCGTTTCCATCCGTACTCACCCGCTTTCAAATCCGTTGAACCGAAACGGTGTGAACATCTGGTTGTCATAGCAACCGACCCGTCTGTGTCCACGGCTTTATGGTATTGCTGGGAAAGCTGATATGGTTTCTTAGAAGCAAACGTGAGACTGAAAGCGATAGAAGGAGTGCAGAGGAGGTGTTGTTTTTCAAAGTGTGTCTCTTGGCAGAATCTTGTAGCTGCCAGAGATAGCAGTGTTAGCTTTAATTAGGCTGATGAAAAACCTGCCTTATCTGAACGATCTGATAGAGTCAGATGACTTTCATTGTCTTTCTGTCGTATTTTCACCATCGCCCATTCTCCTTTGTGCCCGTTTGTATCTTTTGTAATGTACCTTTGTCTCTGATTTCAGTATCTTCAGTACCAGGTGCCCATTTTCCGCAATTTTCCTGCCTGCTGTCTTCTTGAACATGTAATCTGCCCCTAAACAAAGTAGTTGTGGTCATTTGTACTGTAATTATGCTTTTATATATATATATATATATATATATATATATATATATATATATATATATATATATATATATATGTTAGTTTGGGTCTGCAGTAAGTGTGTTATGAAATACCACAGTTACATAGGGTGTTTAATTTAGTGGTGTACGTGCTGCATTACGATCGAGCATGATTACTTTCAGAAAGCATGGGTCATCAGATCAGTAGCATTGACAGAAATGTTTGCTGCGAGTCCATCTCAGGTGTTCCTTTGGGGACTGATTTGTTCCAGTGCGTTCAGATAAAACAGTTGGTGGTCACAGCTGTCCAGTGAATCCACTCCGCTTGTAATTTAAAGTTTAGTTTTTTGAATCGCAGTACTTGTAAAGATTGTAAATATGACGCATTTTTATTATTCAATACACAACACAACAACACTGACCCAAACAGTATGATCTTGACTTTCCAGTACAGTAACTTGCACATATGACACATTTTAAACACAAGACATTGCAAGTGACATAAGAAAGAGAAAAAAATGAACTTTAGAAGAAATTCCGCTGGAGCGCACGGTGGCTTAGTGGTCTCACACCTCCGGGGTTCGGGGTTCGCATCCCGCCTCTGCCCTGTATGCGCAGAGCTTACATGTACTCCCTGTGCTTTGGGGGTTTCCTCCGGGTCACTCCAGTTTTCTCCATGACTAAAGACATGTGTTGTAGGCTGGTTGGCATTTCCAAATTATCCGTATTGTGTGAATGGGTGTGTGGCTGTGTGTCCCCTGCCTTGTGCCCCGAGTCCCCTGGAATAGGCTTCAGGCTCCGCCACAACCCTGTGTAGGATAATCGGTACAGAAAATGGATGGATGGAAGAAATTCCCATTTAAATGAATTATAGACAAAAAAGACATGTTACAGTAGTGGTGCTTCCAGGGCCTTTAGGAACGTACAGACATGTTATGGTCATGTGACCTCTACAGCACTACAACAAATGGTTATAATAAAGGGCAAAACAATCCATCAATACTATGTAAACCTGATTCAGAAATCTCACAGGGTAAAGGACTGGACATTCGGTTTCTAGTAGTTTCTTGGGTCAAAAAAACATTATAAATTGTAAGATTATTCGAATGGTCTAAAATACAAGTGTTGCTTTTCCAGCACTAAGTTGTTGTTTGTTTGTTTTTGTTTTTCTGCAGGACCGAGTATATTGGACCGATCTGGAGAACGAGGCTATCTACAGTGTGAACCGGCTAACAGGCCATGATATATCCATGCTGGCGCAGCACCTGAACAGCCCGCTGGACGTGGTGGTGTTCCATGAGCTCCGGCAGCCCAAAGGTCAGACGCCAAACTCCGCAACCAAACCGATAAACAACGACCATTAACTTTCAGAACCGACTCATTTCTATTTTAACGTCTTGTGTTCTTCATTTATGCTACTTTTAAACATTTTGAAAGAAACCTATTTTAGGCTTACAGATTTACAGGATAGACTGAGACAGAAAGAGAAAAAAAACATTTGCAAAATGGTGGTGTTAAAGGATAAATAAATGTACTAAATGTACTGAGGGGGCTAACAAAAGCTGGAAAACGCACTCAAGCTAAGTAAAGAAGTGTGAACAAATGGAAATGTAATTTGGCTCAGTGTATTTCCTGGAGAACAGGGTGTAATATTCGCAGAAGGGGAAACCTCACGAGGCACTGTGTGACAATAGCTTTAGTGAAATATTACTCAATAAGAAAGCACACAGTGCTCCGAGCAGAGGGAGCTTGGCTCGGAAATATGATCATCTTTATATTCCTTTTCTTCTCGTGGGAGTTGCTGTGAAGTACACTGAATTTCACTCCTTTTATGTTTCCACTATCTCCCTGGGCCTTTCATCGTTATTCTCTTTATTTCACACTTTAAAGCTACACTAACTATACTTTTTCACTTTTTAGAAATATTATTTTTGTCTTTTATTTGGAATTTTTTTTGTTTTTTTGTGATTTTGTTTACCATTAGTTTTTATTTTGGGATTTTCTTGTTTGTTTTGTTTTGGGGTTTTTTTTCTTTTTCGTTTTTTTGTTAATTTATGTACATTTCACTAAGCGCTTTATCCTGGTCAGGGATGTAGTGGATCTCTGCCATCTCGGACTGGGAGTGAGGCAGGAATACAACCTGGATGGAATGCCAGTCCATTACAGCGCACCAGGCACATGCATATTGTTTCCTTTTGAAAAGTACAATTGGTTGAATGTTTGTAAGACTTATCATTTAGGATTTATCATTGTAACCAGAAGATGAACTGATTCGATTTTGGAATTGATCCACACAGGATGAAGGTCACAACAAGGTCAAATGTCTGAAACAGTTTTTCTTCAATAGATTCCTTCCTGATTAAAGTATGTTTTAAGGATATTTCGTGCGTATAAATTAGTAACAAATTGGCACCCTGTCCAGGGTGTACCCCGCCTCGTGCCCGATGCTTCCTGTGATAGGCTCCAGGTTTCCCCGTGACCCTGAAGAAAGGATAAGCGGTATAGAAGATGTATGGATGGATGGAAATTAGTAACAAAAAGGACTTGTCTTGTTGGTGGCGGAAGCAACCGGGGTTTGACAACGTTGGCACTGATTTCTATTTCTCGTTAAGATTCTTCTTGCTATAAAGTCCCTGCTCCGGCAGATTACTGCACATTTTTTATATATATATATATATATATATATATATATATTACATCTCCTTGAATCATGCACAGACAAGATGGAAATATGGAGCTTTTGTGGGGTTTTTTTAGTTACTTGTCAGAAAATTTTGTGGATCCTGGATTACTGGGTAGAAAATGCTATCAATCAAGTTCCAGAGGCAAAAAACCAAAGTTTTTCAAATAT